TTGATATCTACGATATTTATACAGGTAATTTTAATTGTGCAACTATACAATGTGCATTTTATTAATATCATGTGCAAAGTATTCATGTAACGATTTACCTAATTATGTACATATATAATTTGAATAAAAATTAGTATACATTTTTTATAAAAATCATACCATAGGATTGCTACTCACTATTATCATTTATGAATTTAATGTTGATCCTTAAAATTATCTTTTATTGATTAAAAAACATTTTATTATATTAATTTTTGCTTTTGTATTTAAACAATGCATAGGTGTGTGGACATCATCACGTGCGAAGATAACATCTTTTACCGGTGTTCCTCAACATTTCATTTTTAATGATAAATTAATTATACAACAGAATAATTCTACTATGATTTACCATATGTATTTTCCTGATGAAGATGTATGTGAAACCAAATCTTTGAGTGCATTTATCTCGCGTACACCTAACATAAATGCCAACATATCAGAATCATCAATACGGATCTTTAGACATACGACAGCCGACACACCAATACTGACCCTTAAACATATGTCATGTTACATTGGTAAATATTACAATTTATGCACTAAATAGATGCAAAAGAAACTTAAAGTTTACATTAATATGTATTGCAGATGTTGTTGACCAAGATGAAATGGCTTTAAAAGTTGTCACAGAGACATGCAACGTGGAAGGTTGTAATAATATAATAAAGACCTTTTTTAAATCATACCATGAAAGGGTGGAGGGGAGAGATATATATAAAGAAGAAAACTCTGATTTATATTACTTATTGCATGCAAAGTGCGATGAATGGTTTCTAACTCCATTCTTTCACTTCACTCATTCTTTCAATTATAAAGACCGACCAGCAATACTATTATTATGTAAAGGTACTGACGAGAGAGACCCCTTAAGGAAGTTACACCTGCATAGTATTCCTATTCAAGAACCAAGAAAGTTCCGTTCCTTGTTACTTACCAAGAAGAACTTAGCTAAAAAACTTTTTAATATACATCATCCAGCTTACTTGCACACAACAAACTTGGATCATATTTGATTTATGTGATTAAGTATTTAAAAAATTAATAAACGGCGAATGAGAGAGAGTCAGGCGCGATATGTGGTGCGCAAATAAAGAAATTAATAGTTACAGAAGTAACAAATTACAATGTATATAAAAAATATACATATATTTCTACTTATACACTACGCGTCAATTTATTTGTCTGACTTGAAACACAGCTATCGTTGGAATATTAATACCCTTCCCTCCCCGAAATTAAATCAATGCAATTTAATTTTCTAAAAACTGTAAAGAAATTATTGCGAAAAATATTACCTCAGCCAGGAGGGGTGACGGCTGGTCTAGTGGGTAGAGCGCCAGATTCATAATCCGGAGAACCGGGTTCGAATCCCGCTAGGCCTCGGAGGAAAAAAAAACCCTGCCCCTCCCATCTAGCGGAGAGAAGTCTCTCTAGATGGAAAAACTGGGCTCCGTCTTTCGGAAAAAGACGTTAAACCGTTGGTCCACAGAAAAGTTCGGGGTTGGGTACGTCCTTTCAAAACTCCCTTTAAGACCCCCTGTGGTATATAAAGTATCTTTTGATATAAAATATCTTTATCCTTTTTTTTATTACCTCAGCCAGGATTCGAATCTGAAACTTCAGGATTTGAATAATTAAATATTTAATTATTCGATATTTCTGTGAAAGAGAACGAGGGAGAGAGGTAAATCCAAATAAAAATTCAATATAAACGTTGAAGAAATTTCAAAGAACACTTTAAAGAACGGACAGTACATCTAGTCCGATATCATGTTGACTTTCTTTGTATTAACCGTGATATAT